AGTATATGAAGCACAGAAGGCACAGCTGTATAGAGACAATAATGATGTAACGGCTCAGGAATAATGGAGGGGGTGGGGGGAGTTGAGGGGATTGAGGAGCAAACGGTCAATATGGGAGTGGGGAGGATGCACTGGAACTGATTGAGGTGATGTATATACAGCTCTATAAATACGAATGAGCTATGAAAGTGTACAATATGTGAATTTTATTTCAATAAAACTATTCTTTTAAAAAAGAAAAAATGAGCTCAAGGACTCAGGCATACCAACAATTTTAACAATGCACAGGATGGGTAATGTTTCATTACGTTGTACATAGGGTCCTCATGAGTCAAAGTTGACTCAATGGCAAGTAACAACAAAAAGTACTTAAAATATTTGTTATAGAAACAGTACAAATAGTAAGTTTAACCAGTTAGAGAACATAATGCACCTGTAATAACTAAAGGAAGCACTGGTGTCATAATGGTTATGCACTGGACTTCAATCCAAAACGTTAGCAGTTCGAAACCCCCAGCTACCCCTTGGAATAAAGATGGGGTTTTCTACTCTCAAAAAGTTTCAGCCTCCGAAACTCATGGGGTACATCTAGCCTGTCCTGTAGGGTCACGATAAATTGGCATCAATTCAGTGGAAGTGAGTTTGGTTCAGCTTTTGGTAATAAATTAGATATGAGAAGGCTGAAAAAAGTTTGTGGAAAAAATGGAAATCAAATATAATGGATTTTTTCCATGAACTTTTTAAAGTCCCTTCATATAAGTATATCTTAATACTAATTGTTTTAACATATTAAAATAATATAAACTTTCAGGAAAGTTCATTTCATAAAATAAATAACACAATGCATATACTTTAGTATAATCAAAACATATGCTTTACTAATTATAACTTGTTGATTTACTAAAAAAACTGATCCATTACAATGAATGTATTGTTAAAGAAGAGAGAAGGAAGAAAAGGAGGGGCGGGGAGAAAGGTAAGGAACAAGGGGAAAAGAAGCAAAAAGGAAGGAAGTGGGGCTGGAATACATATTAAGTTATTTATCATTAAACTAAAATTTTCAGTAACAGAAATTCTGAAACAGTGCCTTTAAAGATAAAGAATTTTTAAAAGCACAGAGATTAAAAACCTTAAGTTTACATTGAAGGGAGACAGCAGACAGTATAAGATATGAAAATAATAATAATTTATAATTTATCAAGATGCAAGAGGGTGGGAGGGTGATGGAGGAGGAAAAAAAGAGGAGCTAATACCAAAGGCTCAAGTAGAAAAAATGTTTGGGCAATGATGATGGCAACATATGTACAAATGTGCTTGATACAATTGATGTATGGATTATAATAAGAGCTGTAAGTGACCTCAATAAAATGATTTTTTTAAAAAAAACAACCTTAAGTTCACTCTTTTTAGTAAGTTATACCTAGACCATCAATTGCCCTTCCTCCTCCTCCTTCCTGTTAATCTATCTATCCCTTCCTCTTTCTTCACCGTTCTTCTCTCTTCCTCTCCTTTTTTCCCCACTCCTTCATTCTCTCTAAAACACGTACACACACTGAAAAACACATACAGTCATTGTTTCAAATATTAGCCCAAAATAAGGCAGTCCAAAGGACATATTGTCCATAGAACTATAAATGATTAGAATTTAAAGACAGACCACCTAAGTCAAAGATCCATATTGCTTATTGGATACATGCTCAAAAATAAACTGTGTCCAGTCTACACAAGTGTGCCTCCAAGATCTTATAAAAGCTACTTCTCTCAATGATATTATCAGATTGAGGGAGCAGGGTGAAGGTGGGTTTGGGGGTAGCTGGGAATCACCATTTTAAATCCCATTGTGCAAAGTGACAGTTCAAAGTATTGCCAAAGTTATATATCATTTTCCCATGCTGCAGATATGAACTTGAATGAACATCTTACCTTGGATTGCAATTTTTCTCATGGTGTCTTCCAAACCTACAGATTAGTTTTAGATTCCAGCAATTCCCATAACTGGCCAACATTTGGAGCTATGCTAGCCCAGGATAACAGAGTTCAAGGGTGTTCAAATAAATTTTGATTAAAAGCTCTTGAGAAAAGTCTTTAAGGTTGACATGATCTTCCACGGCATTGAAAATAATAAAAAAGAGGAAGAGGAGGAGGACAAGGAGAAGGGGGAGAAAAGAACTGGTTTCACTAAGAACATTAGGAACAAAGTTAACCTGGGGTAGGCCTGGGTTTACTTGACTCTCCAAGGTCGGATGTATAATAGACCATAATGCTGAAACCCACGCAATCTAGATCAATTCCAGGTTATAAAAGTGGGGATGTAGGGGTGAAGAGGAGCTAGATGTTTGCCTCATTTGAGGAACTTACTAATTGTGTTATTAGATAATGTATGCATCTAGAAAAACACAACAGTGTCAAAAGTTGTGCTTTATTACAAATGTGAACAATTACACTAAAGAAAATATCACATTTAGTTTCATTTTCTAATCAAAAGACAAATTATAAATCTCCAAGTGTGTTCAGTGTAAACTTTGCTATTTTTCTACAACTATATAATTATCTTGATAAACATTAAATCCATGCAAAAGAGCTCCACTGTATAGGTTTGTTCATGTTTGTTTTGCTTTATTTTGCTTTTTAAGATTGATTAAAAGTAATCTTCAACAATCTAAGAAAACAAGCTAGAGAAAATTCCAAATCTGTTCCTATTATAAAAGATGATTCCTATTATAAAGGACGATTTAGACGATTTGGTTCGTGAAATAACCAATGTCTATAATTAACTGTTATGCTACTGTTATTAATTCTCACCAAATTGACTCCAGATTAAACACTAGAGTCCTACTTCATCTTACTTTAGCAAAATAATATTACTGAATAAAGTACCACTGGCTAAAATTATTATCCTAACTATTTCCCCAAAATAAAAATCTATCACCAAATGGAAAACAATATAAATGACAAAAATCATAACCCAACATTTAAAAAGGAGAAACAAGTATTATATAGGAAGCCTTATAGCCCACCTTTCTTCTTGACTGGCATTGTTGGGTCTTTCCACAGCCACAGGATTCCAGAATCTTTTCAGGTCTCAGCTTGATCCAACTGAATTTCGGCCAAGAGCCAAGTAACTGTTGCAAACCACCTCACGGTTCACTCTTGGAATCCAGACTGAGTCTTCTATTTCACACAAAGAAAATGCTGATGTATTTTTCCCCCACTATTACACTTTTGAGTTTAGAGAAAAATAATTTTTGAGTTTTTCAAGTATTTCAATTTTCATAAAATATTTATTCTGGTTTTAAAAACTGAGAAAAGTTTTGTCGACGTAGAAAATGTTATTGAAACTCCTCTTTCGGCGGCAGCATTTTGGAACTTCAATGACTGAGTTCAATTAAGGCACAAACCAAAATTTAGAAGGATGTTTCAGTCTACACGTGACCAATTTCTCAGATGAACCAGTTGATGATAAAGAGCCTCAATTCTTCGTGGAGAAATTTAAACGGACCTGCCTCCCCAAATAAACATAATTACACTTCAAATCAACCGCCTTGACCCTGGTGTCTAGCAAGTCAGGTGAGTTTGAACAGTTCTCTGGGGGCAGCACACAGACTGGAAGGCCCCTTTTCCATTTACTGGACCAGAAGTTCCGAATCTCACGCCCTCAGATGGACGGGATCCACCTTGCTGTCCTTTTTTTTTTCTTCTGTGTTCTGTAGGGCCCCACCCACCCACCCCACCCCCGGGCTTGTTCTTTAATGCCCTCAGTTTCTGATCTTCCCCTGAGTAAACCGAGAGGACGGAAAAGAAGGAAAGCAATCCCTCGGCAGAGAGACATTCACGTGCCAGTGCTACTCCATGGGCACTTGATGCAGGATGAGTTGACGAAGCAGATTTCTTCCCACCGGAGTCATTTACAACGTGCCATCTCTTCACATCTTCGCAGCTACCTATCAGGCGAGGGAAAGGGCAGCCTGTTCGCCAGCAGAAGCCAAACCTTCCCCCAAAGGTGTTTCCAGAGACGCCGTAGGAGTACTAGGCATGTAAGCATAAGCCGTGCAAATGGTCCCCGGTTTCGTAGAGTTCAGCGGCTTAGCTTCCACATCCACTCTTTTCTCTCCATCTCCGTGCAAACTACCCACCTTCCTTTTGCAGAAAAGACAAGGAATCTGCCACCGCTGCCACCCCTGCCCACACCCCGCTCCTCTACGGAAGAGCACTGAAATGTCCTGCACCCTCCAAGCGATGAAGTGTTTCCTCAGCCGGGAGAAGCGGCTGCACTCGAAATTATATAACTCGAATTTGGCTTTTGTAAGACATGGAGTCTGGAGGGTCGGGGGGTGCTGCTCTGGGAGACGCTGCCAGGCCTCCTCTCCGCGCCCCCCACCCCGAAACGCGGGTTGGAAAGGGGGTGTCTGTGGTGCTGGGTTGTGAGGGGCGAATTTCTCCCCGGTCCCTTCCCAAGCGGGATGAGCTGAAGGACGGACGTGCGGGCACTAGCAACGGGGCGAGGACTCGGACAGCTGCGAGGGGAGGAGGCTAGTCGGGGTCCTCGGGCGGCCCCGGGTGGACGGCGGGGATTCGGAAGGGACGAGGCCGGAGCACCGGCGCCACAACACCCGGGCCGAGCCAGTGGGGGGGAATTCCCCTTTTAAGGAGTGGAAGGGCAGAGGAGCTCAACCCCAACTAACGAAGTTGCTCTGAGGTGAGGATGGCGCACAGCAACACGCACGGGTTCCGAACGCCCCAACTTCCCCTCAGAAGACGACGGGAGGGGAGCGAGCGCGAGCCTGACAAATGGCCCGGAGATGGAATGCGGGGCGGGCAGAGGGGCGGGCCCACTACTGTCGGCTCCCCCTCGAAGCCAATGACTGGCCGAGAGTACGAGACGCTAGAGCCAATCAAAGTCAGGGAAGAGGGCGCGGCGTTTGACTGCGTGGGGGCGGCCCCGGCTGAACGCGAGAGGCCAGAGCCAACGTCGCGCGTTCCGCTCAGGCTTTCTGGGCTTCCTGCCAACCGTCGGTCACGTGACCCGCCAGCATGGCGGCGCTCGGTCGTGGAGCTGGAACTGAGCTGGGGGATGTAAGTGTGATGTCGCTGGGGGCAGGGGACGCGCCTGAGGTAAACAGAAGTACGGAGTGGCATGGACCGTGACTGTGGGGACGATCCTGAGATGATGCTCGTAACCTGGGTTTAAAAAGCAAAAAGAACAGCTCCAAGTTCCTGCAGGGTGCAGTCTGTGTCCCCAGCCCTATTGCAGTGAGTCGGGAGAATACGGACTTGCTCATAGAAGCAGTTCCTACATGTGGCAATGCTTGTATGTCAGAGTAGGCCTGTGTTCCACAGGATTTTCAATGGCTGATTTTTGTACAGGTAGATATCAAACTTTTCTCCCGAAAAACCTAGAACTTCCAGCCTTTTGTTTTCACCACTCAGGGACCTTGGAAAAACAAAAATCCACTGTCATCGAGAACATTCCAACTCCCAAGGAGCCTATAGGACAGGGCAGCCTGGGCTTCCGCTGAGCATCTGGTGGGTTTAAAGTTCCATTCCTGCAGTTAGCTTCGCAGCCCAACACGAATCCACTACACCCCGGGCTCCTGGCCCTGATCGCCTGCTGCACGCATGCCCTTGCCTCTTGTCCTTTGCTCAGTTCTTTCCTTCCTTTTGGAATCTGCCTCTGCCTCTTTTCTCCCTGGCCCCGCCCCCCAACTTTTCTCTCCCAACCCAATTACCCCTCCCATTTCTTCCATCCTGGCTTACATGTCATTTCCTTTACACAGGTCCACACAACTCACTGCCTTCAAGTCGATTATGACTTATGACGCTATAGGACAGGGTGGAAATGCCCCTGTGGGTTTCCATATGTCCACTGACTTGGTTAATTATACTCTTTGCTTTTTGTTTGAAATGACAACCTCATTCAGTGTTTTAATTACCTAGGTGTTTTTTTGGTTTGGTTTTGGAGGAGGGTGGGGGAAGGAGGAGGCTGTAGGTAGGTTGACCTCCCTATAAGGGTAGACTGGGGACGCCTAAGAACACCATTTATTGATTACCAAGATGCCTGTCATAAACGAAGTGCTAAATAAAACCAGGTGTTAAATAAAATTCCATAAGTCAGGTGAAGTAATACATAACCTTACAGAAACCTTTAGAGGCAGCATCGCAGACTATTCCAGTGGCTGTGAGTTAATTATACTGACTTAGAAATGCATCTCTACTTGTATAAGCATGGTGACCAGGTCTCAGCTTGGACTGGTTCGGTTTTTCATAAAATGTTAGTTATAGCAAAATATTTGTATTTTTTAAACATTATTTAATATTTGTAAACATCTTTGTGAAAATTACTAGACTATTTCTCTGCTTTACTAAGTGGATTGTAATGAAACCAATTCTTTATATTGACAGTGTATAGCAAAGAACTCCTAAAACCAAACTCACTGCCATCACGTAAATTCTGAGTTGTAGTCACCCTATAGGGACAGAGTAGAACTGCCCCTGTGGGTTTTCGAGACTGTAAATCTTCCCAAGAGTAGCTTCTCCCTGCAACACCTGCTGATTTTGAACTGCTGACCTTCTGGTTACCAACCCAATGAGAAACCTACTACACCACTAGGGCTCATTAGCAAAGCACTAAGCACTCAATATGCACTCTCCTGTTTCAGTATTTATTGTTCTAAGTTATTGAATGTACATTTGCTTGAAAAAAAAATGGGGGGGGGTAAAGTATAGAGAATTTCAATGAAGTGAATAACAGTAAAACAAAAGTACATCCCAGATTTCTGGAAAATCATGCAAATGACATATGCTTTCTAGTACATAAAACAGGTTGAGTATAGACACACCTTTAGATATTAGTATCTTTTACTTTCCATTTTCAATGTGGTATCAGGGACAGGAAAAATCTGAACTCTAACCTCTGAGACATAATTGAGAAAATATTCTATTTTCCCAAGATATGTTAAAGAAATAAATAGGAATATTTTGAATACAGTTCTCCAAGCATGCTGGTAAATATATGCATCTATTACTCACTGTACAAAGCCATAAGAATATTCGAAGGACGCTATACCTTCAGGATATTCGTGCTTTGCATGATCCTTCAGGAGCAAGGGTTAAGATTAGAACAAATAATTCATTCAGTAAATGTATATTTTATTGATATTCAAAGTGTGTTCATTGACCAATGCATCAGAAGCACTTGAAGTGCTACTGAAATACAGACTTCTAGGCCTTAACCCATTCCTATTGAATCAACTCAATGGTAAAAGGTTGGGTTGGATGTGCTCATTGTGCATCTAGCCCAGGTAAGTAGTGGGTACCACTCTGGTGTAGGTAACACTGTAGGTTCCCAAACTTATTTGGTTTTCTGCCCCCTTTTCAGAAAACAAAAATTAATCAGTACCTCCCTGGGAATGAATAACTTTAGTACTGTACCCTATAATGTAAGAAAAATCTAAGTGTGGGCATTGGCAGCCCCCCTCCTGAATTATTCCAAGGATCCCTGGGGCTGTCGTGTGTTAGTGTTGCACTGCTAACTGCAAGGTCCGCAGTTCAAAACACCAGGGGCTCAGAAAGAAAGATAAGGCTTTCTGCTCCTGTAAAGATTTACAGCCTCAGAAACTCACTACTCTGTCCTGCAGAACACCCTGTGTCAGGATTGACTCTATGACAGTGAATTTAGGTTGCTTGTTTGGATCATTCTAGCACTGCCCAGGGGGCAGTATCACCCACTTTGGGAAACGTGGGTTTATCTTATAAGCCGGTGAGTTCAGTCCAGGCCTGAAGAGTATGTAAGGGCTATTTTCTCAGGGTTCCACCACATGCAACCTGGCCGGTAAACTTGGTCTTCTATGTGTTTTTAGTGTTGTTCCACATTTCTCTCCCACTCTTTTCAGGGACCTTTTATTGTGACTTCTCTCAGAGCAGTCAGCAGTGGTAGTCGGACACCCCTTAGTTCTGGTCGCAGGGTTGTGGAGACTGGTTCATGTGGCCCTATAGTCCTCTGGACTAATTGTTTCTTTGCATCTTTTATTTTCTTCACTTTTCTTTGATCCAAAGGGGCAAAGGCCAATAGTTGCACCTCAGATAACCACTTACAAATATTTAAGACCCTTGACTTCTGCAGTCTCTGGGTGGGTTTGAACCACCAACCTCTCAGGCAGCTTAACCATTTGTGCCTAATCAACTCTATCCTGCTCAGAACTCCTGAAATTTGAGATTAAGCCTTTGACTATAAGGTAAAATGGAGATTGGTGTAAATTTGTGAAGGGCCATTTATTGGCTAATCTAGAGGATAATATGGAGAAGAAAAAGCATAATGGTCTCTTGAAGTTAGCAACTGCTTAAAAATCACTCGTGGACACAGGAACTTTCCAACCCTGGATCCAAGTGTCATGGGTCATCTCTGCTCTGCCCTATAGCTGTTCCTTATGAAGGAACACCTGCTTTTTCCCCAGGTGGCTGCATGTATAGCTTCTGTAATCCAAGGTAGCCATGATCCGCTGCCCCTTCCAAGGGTGGTGCAGTTTCATTACTGATCTCATCTCTGTACTCTCCAAAACAATCCCTGCTCTCTCTTACCTCTCTAGGAAAGTTGACATAATCTCCAAAACATAATCTCAAACTCTCATGAGAGTCAGAATATAGACAGTTGTCAGAAAGCAGCTACTGATTTCCACCTTGTCATCCCCTACCTGAAATGCTGGAGCTAAGAGGACTACAAAAGGCCTGGCTACCTTCGTGGAGTAGAAAGAGGGGGAAACTGTAAATTATCTTTCTGCACTAAGTCATCTAATGCAAGTCAACCTTTCCAAACCTCGGTTTTGTCACCTGTAAAAGTAGTGTCATTATCCTACTAATTTCTCAAGGTTATGGGAACTAAAACCATGATCTAGCAGAGACTAAAAGCTCAATAAATGTTGGTTGAATCAGTAGCATAGGTTCGTGAAAGTATATGACACCTTACCGGTCACCTTAATAAACTCAATGTTTTGTCATCTGAATCTATAACATGTATAAGGTTTTCACTAATACCATTGGCTATGTTTCTAAAATTTTGTGTTTTCCAGGACATCAAGTTGGCAACATATACTCATGGTCAGCCCAGTTCTTCTCCAGAAGATGCAAAATTCAAAAGACCAATGGTGATGGAAATTATAGAAAAAAAAATTGAATATCTTAGAAAAGAAAAGTAAGAGACATACCTTGAAGATCAGTAGCTCATTATAGATCATCAGTATTACATCCATAACCTACTTTGAGGAGTAGCCAAGAGCTTACCTTTGAATTGACTCTGAAGAAAGTTATTTAAAAAAAGAACTGGAGGAAATCCTGGGCAAATGAAAATAATGGCTTGTTGGAATTTTTGGAATTGTGGATAATTTCATTTATATCTCTAAAAATTCCTCCCAAGATTGATGAAACATTATTTGAGCAATTAATATTTATAATTAAAAATATCTAGGAGGAAACTATTTGAAGGTATTTGTATTTAATTGCTGGTCAGTTATACTGTCATGTGCCATTTCTACTTTTACATTAATAAAGCTCAAAGTTAAAAACCAAATGACAGTTGATCTTAAACCTTAGAAGTTTTTGTATTTAAATATGATCACAGTAAGTAAAACTAGATCTATCAGATCTCCACGGATGAAGTTTTAGAAATATCTGGCAAATTATTTTTTGCTGTAACTAGACTCATTTAAAAATAGCTGTTTTTTTAGACAGCCTCACCAAATGTAAATAACTTTTTCCAGATAATACTAATCAATTATATTGGTAGCAGGAACACTTAGATTTATGCATCTTATAAAGGTTGGATACATTAAAATTTATTTAGGTCCCTGGACGGTAACAACTGGTTTGCTCTTGACTACTAACCTTACGGTTGATCCAAACCCATCCAGCAGCACCTTGGAAGAAAGATCTGGTGATTACTTCCCTAAAGATGATTGCCAAAAATACCATGTGGAGCAGAAGTTCTGCTCATAACATGGAACCACCATGAGTAAGAAATCAACTTGACAGTAACAACAATACAATAACTTGTTTAAATTTATCGTTCACCGCTGTGAAGTCAATCCCTGGCTCCTGGTGACTCCATGCAAAACAGAATGAAATGCAGTCTGGTTCTGCACCAGCCCTATGATTGGTTGCAGATCAGATTGATCATTATGTTTCATAGGGTTTTCATTGGCTGATTCTAAGAAGTAAATCACCAGCCCTTTCTTCCTATCCATCTTAGTCTGGAAGCTCTGATAAAAGAGACATTCAACATCATAGCAGCACACAAGCATCTCCTGACAGCTAGCTGGTGGATGCACATGAAGTGCATTGGCTGCAAATCGAACCCAGATCTCTTGCACATACAATGAGAAGTTTACCACTGAGCCACCAATATGCTGGCCAAAATGTATCCTCTCTTTTTTTTTTTTACTATCAGGGCTCTTTATTGTATACTTAATTCATATACAAGAGGGTATCCACCCAAATCTGGATTTTTTTTCAAAACTATGTATTTAAATTTTTTTTTCTTTTTCTTTTTTAACATTTTATTAGGGGCTCATACAACTGTTATCCCAATCCATACACACATCAATTGTGTAAAGCGCATTTGTACATC